AGCTCAGTGGCTAGGGTGCCAGCCACAGACACTGGAGCTGGCGGGTTCAAATCTAGCCCAGGCCTGCCCAACAACAATGACAACTACAACCAAAAAATAGCTGGGTGTTGTGGCAGGTGTCTGTCATCCCAGCTAATGGGGCAGCTGAGGCAAGAGAATTGCTAAGCCCAAGAGTTTGAGGTTGCTGTGAGCTGTGATGCCACAGCACTGTACCAAGGATGACATAGTGAGACTCTGTCTCCAAAAAAATAATAATAATAATAGTGGGGGCCAGGCATGGTGGCTCAAGCCTGTAATCCTAGCACTTGAGAGGCCAACGTGGATCAAAGTTGGAGACCAGCCTGAGCCAGAGTGAGACCTTGTCTCTAACAATAGCCAGCGTTGTGGCGGGTGCCTGTAGTCCCAGCTACTTGGAAGGCGGAGGCATGAGAATCACTTGAGCCCAAGAGTTTGAGGTTGCTGTGAGCTATGACACTAGCGCACTCTACAGAGGGTGGCACTCTATTGGGACAAGTGAGACTCTGTCTCAAAAAAAAAAGAATAAATGCTTACTGTAGAAAAATATAAAGAAAAATTTTTTAAAGCAGCTAGGGCACCAGTCATATACACTGGAGCTGGCGGGTTCGTATCCAGCCTGAGCCTGCCAAACAACAATGACAACTACAACCAAAAAATAGCCAGGCATTGTGGTGGGCACCTGTCCTCCCAGTTACTTTGGAGGCTGGGGCAAGAGAATTGGTTAAGCCCAAGAGTTTGAGGTTGCTGTGAGCTGTGATGTCACAGAACTCTACAGAGGGCGACATAGTGAGACTGTCTCAAAAAAAAATCCATAAGCTTACTACCTGGAGACAGTCAGTGTCAATATTTTGGTGCATATTCTTTTATAATTTCCTTCTATATACAATGAAGTAAATATATTGCACATATAATTTTGTATCCCTCTCTCTCTCTCTCTCTTTTTTTTTGCTTAATATCATTTCAGAAGGCTTTTCAATAACTTCTCTTTAAACATGGCTTTCTGGGCCAAGTGCGGTTTGCTCGAGCTTAGGAGTTCCAGAGTAGTCTGAGCAAAAGTGAGAACTTGTCTCTACTAAAAAACTAGCCAGGTGTTGTGGCCTCGGGCTGTAGCACTCTACCCAGAATCACAGAGTGAGACTCTATCACAACAACAACAACAAGCAAATGTGGTTTTCTTAAAAGAAGCATTTCTTTCCACTTTGTAAATTAAACAGATAAGTATCTGTCCCCCAGGTACTCAACTGTGTGCCCCTAAAGTTGCCTGAGAAAAGAATTGCTGTGAATTTCCATTTGAAGGAGTCCTTCCTTGAGGAGGGTGACTTCCAGGAGAACAGAGATCTTCTTAAGGAGACCCCAAGGGTACACCTGCGAGGTCCTCTCCTCGGTGACTCAGCTCTTAGGAATTTGTAGACTTGGAAATTGCCGAAATCCTGTAGTTCTGTAGGGACTGGAACAGCTGCTCCTGCTTGATTCAAACTGACCAAGGAGAAAGGAACCGTGGGTTGGAACTTTTTGACTGGAGATGAAAAGGGGAAAACCAAGCCAGTTGGGGAGTGTGGCCATTTTGAATTCTTCTATGCTCCCTGGACTGAATAAAAACCCTTTTCCTCTTAAATCCGGTGTTTGGGTGCTCTTCCTCTGCATCTGGGCCTCGTCTTCCTGCAACCTCCCCACTTCGCCATTTGGGCAAAGGTGAACTTTTCCACCACAGTTGTGTTGAAGGCAAGATGCACCTGCATCAGTCATGACAGCTTCAAAAACAAACCATTTGCATTCCTGTTCATTTCTTTTCCTGTTGAATCTAGTGTGGGGTAGGCTGTGAACATGAGTGAGGAAGAAGTTTCTGAATTATAGTGAAGTTTCAGAAGAAAAAGAAACCACCAGGGCGGCATCTGTGGCTCAAGGAGTAGGGAGCCGGCCTTCTATGCCAGAGGTGGTGGGTTCAAACCCAGCCCTGGCCAAAAAATAAAGAAAAAGAAACCACCACAGTCAGAGCCAAATCTTTTTCAGGTCTTGTTTCTGTGCCTTGAGAATCTGCATGGGGCATTGAACCATTCACAATGGAGCCCCTTCACATGGCCATCAGCTGGGGTTCGGCTCTTGCAGGAGCTAAGAAAATTTCACCCCAAAATATGATTCCTTGATATAAAGATTATTTTAAATCAAAAGGTCATTTTTGATCAGAAAGCACTGACCTCTCCCTAAAACCTGAGTAATCTGATTTAGAACCAGAAAAGGCTGCTGGCCGCCTTATTGCATGCTAATAGACCTGTCTCCAAGGTTGTCTGAAGCACAATACCTGTCTCTCAGATTCATTTACAAATCAATCCATTTCCCTCCATCTACCAATCCCCCCCACCCCCCAACCACTTGCTACACGGTATGCTTTCCAGTTTCTGTCCTCCCTCCCTTCTAAAAGGCATCTTTAAAAGCCGCTGACCATGACTGAGATTTTGGGTAATCATCCTTGTGGTTCCCCCCATGCTCATGATATTTGGAAAGAAATCTTCCTCTTATTAACCTACCATAATTGTAAGTTGGTCTTTCACCGAACTAGACCAAGAGAAAAGGGCAGGTTTTGCGGTGATCCCTACACTCTGGAATGTTCAGTCAAGTTCAGGGAGCTCGAGCTGCCTTTCTCTTCAATCATGTACTTCATCACTGCACAATCCAGAACAGCAGTGAAAATCAGCTCCAAGGAAGTATTAGGGGAATTGGGATGAGGACAAGTGGTAGACTAGGGGACCTCAGACTCCTAGAGTATTTATAGAGTTGACCGCCCCGGAATGAATGTTCTCAGACCGCAGGTTTGACCCAAGGGAAGGCAGGGAGAACCAGGTGCTTCCTGGGCTACTAAGCCCAGATGCCACGCTGTGGATTTCCAAATATATCCTCAAACCCAGCAGAGATACTTAGGGTCCTGCTTACCTCCACTTACTGGCATTGTCACTGGGGAATCTGCTCCAACTTTCCAGAAAGTCCTTTCCGGTGGACTTTCTCCTCTTGTTTACAGGCCTGGTGACATCTGCCGACAGCCTTACACCCTTCCTGGACGGATTCCTTCCTAAGGCCCTAAGCCAGGGTTTCACCTTTAACAGTAACAAATGCACTTAGGGTTACCATTATAATCATTTCATCAGTGAAGAACAGACAGACACGCAACTCGCCCCCCCCCCCAACCGTTATCCCCTAATGCCCCATTTTGTACCGTGCAGGGTGCTGTGTGTATCCACGAGGCCATCCCCACCCCCTTCTCCAAGCTGAGCCAGTGTGGCTGGGGCCCATCCCCCACCCCCTAGACAAGCTGTTTGGACAGAGTCAGGAAGAAGCATTAGTTGCTAAACTTTCCGTGAAAGGGGTGGGGGGTGGGGGTGGGAGAAGAAAATGTAGAAGGTAAAAGAGCATAAAAGAGGTTGGAGGAGACGTGAAAGGAAAGATGAGACCGGAGGCAAGAAAGGAAATCAAGGAGAAAAAGGGAAGAGCAGCATGAAAGCCGTGGATGAGGCTCGGTGCCTGTGGCTCAAGCGGCTAAGGCGCCAGCCACATACACCTAAGGTGGCGGGTTCGAATCCAGCCTGGGCCTGCCAAACAACAACGATGGCTGCAACCAAAAAATGGCCAGGCGTTGTGGTGGGCGCCTGTGGTCCCAGCTACTTGGGAGGCGGAGGCAGGAGACTCGCTTGAGCCCAGGAGTTGGAGGTTGCTGTGAGCTG